GGGGTGTCTTTCTTTCTCTCCTTGTCTCATGGAAGCAATAGATACATTTTAAAAAAAAAGTTTTGCTAAAATCAAATTAAGAAAATGTATAGGCATTCTGACAGTATGACCAAAATCGTCTTTCTTGGTCCTTAGACAAATGAAGTATTTGTAAAGGAATTTAGAACCTGCTTGCTACAGTGAAATTCTCATGCTATTTTATTTTGTGAAAGCATAAAAGAATCACGAAAGGTAGACATGAGAATAAAATGAAAGTCTTCACTGGGGAGAAGGGATGGTTTATCTATAGTTCAGGCTTGCTAATGACAAATAATACAGGGGTATTTAACTATGGGATACATTTTATAATACATTATCTTCTTTTACTGAAGTTATCTTTTGCTTTCTAATATTAGTTTGTATTCCATAAAATATTTCAATTAAATGATGACATGAAGATAAGCAAAATAAAATTTTGTGTTTTAAGGTGCACATTTATGGGACCAGCAGTTAGCGTAATGGCTATGTCACTGAACTCCCATGAAGCTGACTGCAGTTCAAGTCCCGGACTTCGTGGCTTAAACTCACACCGGGCACATGGGCGTGCATGCCCAAGATCCCAAGAGGAGAATGGAGAAGGGATTGCAGTGTGGCCATTCCCCCTGGGGGATGATTTCTCACTTTCTGTCTCTCTTGTCTCTCTCTGTCTTTCTGGCAAGCGCACACGCCCTATAGCAAAAACCTCGCCAAAAAAAAAAAAAATAAATAAATAATAAAATAAATAAAGTGCACATTTATGAATTAATTTCCCCCCAGTGCCCAGTGTGTAGGTAGAATCTACATCTGTTTATCCAGGTAGATTAACATTCTGTGCAGGTCATAATCTGGAGCTGAACGAATAAATAAATCAAAATTCGGGAGCTAGCCCAATCCTCAACCTAAAATAAAATAAGAATAACTAGGAACTACAATTGGTCCCTAAAAGACTTGTCATCTTTGCTGCTAATTTCGAGAGCTACTAACCTGTCTGAACTCTTCAACAAATTCACAAATAGAACTTTATTAAATCAAAAAGAAAGGTTAAGTGGCATGAAATATTTATAAGCTGGTTTCCTGGGGCTGTCTGATCATGTTATTAATTTATTTAAAATTTTCTATAGTGGCTGAAGGTCCTGTCTGTTTCTGGTCGAAGGATGGACTAGACAACTAGGAGAGTCTGTGAGGATACGAAATCCAGAGATCTGACAGAAGAGAGTTGGTGGGATGCAAAGTGTTTGATGAGAAAATGGCCTCTGGAAGGCCCTCACACCAAGCAAGGTTTAAATTTAGTTTCAACATTTGCAGCACAAATAAAGAGAAATTCACAGTTGACACAAAGATGAGCTGTCTTCATCCATCTTGCTGTAAAGTTGCTTGTTCTGGAAAGGATGCCAACGCTGTGACATAGACAAATGAAGTATTTGTAAAGGAATTTAGAACCTGCTTGCTACAGTGAAATTCTCATGCTATTTTATTTTGTGAAAGCATAAAAGAATCACGAAAGGTAGACATGAGAATAAAATGAAAGTCTTCACTGGGGAGAAGGGATGGTTTATCTATAGTTCAGGATTGCTAATGACAAATAATACAGGGGTATTTAACTATGGGATACATTTTATAATACATTATCTTCTTTTACTGAAGTTATCTTTTGCTTTCTAATATTAGTTTGTATTCCATAAAATATTTCAATTAAATGATGACATGAAGATAAGCAAAATAAAATTTTGTGTTTTAAGGTGCACATTTATGGGACCAGCAGTTAGCGTAATGGCTATGTCACTGAACTCCCATGAAGCTGACTGCAGTTCAAGTCCCGGACTTCGTGGCTTAAACTCACACCGGGCACATGGGCGTGCATGCCCAAGATCCCAAGAGGAGAATGGAGAAGGGATTGCAGTGTGGCCATTCCCCCTGGGGGATGATTTTTCACTTTCTGTCTCTCTTGTCTCTCTCTGTCTTTCTGGCAAGCGCACACGCCCTATAGCAAAAACCTCGCCAAAAAAAAAAAAAATAAATAAATAATAAAATAAATAAAGTGCACATTTATGAATTAATTTCCCCCCAGTGCCCAGTGTGTAGGTAGAATCTACATCTGTTTATCCAGGTAGATTAACATTCTGTGCAGGTCATAATCTGGAGCTGAACGAATAAATAAATCAAAATTCGGGAGCTAGCCCAATCCTCAACCTAAAATAAAATAAGAATAACTAGGAACTACAATTGGTCCCTAAAAGACTTGTCATCTTTGCTGCTAATTTCGAGAGCTACTAACCTGTCTGAACTCTTCAACAAATTCACAAATAGAACTTTATTAAATCAAAAAGAAAGGTTAAGTGGCATGAAATATTTATAAGCTGGTTTCCTGGGGCTGTCTGATCATGTTATTAATTTATTTAAAATTTTCTATAGTGGCTGAAGGTCCTGTCTGTTTCTGGTCGAAGGATGGACTAGACAACTAGGAGAGTCTGTGAGGATACGAAATCCAGAGATCTGACAGAAGAGAGTTGGTGGGATGCAAAGTGTTTGATGAGAAAATGGCCTCTGGAAGGCCCTCACACCAAGCAAGGTTTAAATTTAGTTTCAACATTTGCAGCACAAATAAAGAGAAATTCACAGTTGACACAAAGATGAGCTGTCTTCATCCATCTTGCTGTAAAGTTGCTTGTTCTGGAAAGGATGCCAACGCTGTGACATCCCGTCACTGCCTTACATAGACAGCACCCGTTTTGTACATCAAAAGGAAAAGGCAGTGACTGAGGGTGGAAGACCCCAGGGGTTGACTGATGTGTTGCAATTGCTCTTCACTAATTACACAAGCTTGTTTGTTCCTACTTTATTTTAGAATTAGAATAGGGAGAACTCATTATGGAAATCTGGGTCAGCTCTAAACTTTGCTTTTCTCATTAAACTTGGCTCCTTGAGAATCTATGTTATTAAATAAACCTGTAATCTTTTAGTTGTTTGCAAAGAATGGTGATTACATCATTTAAAGGTGAAATGATCTTTGAAAAGTGACCTTGTCAGTACTAAGGAGAACCATTTCATTTTGCCCACCCTGGAAAGGTTAAACCTGGTTATTTCTCAGGTGATGTCAACCAAATCTCCATCCCTCCCTCCCCCAACCTAAAACCTCCTGTCAGAGCAAGGCTCCCTTCAACCATTTACCTTTAGGAGGAATCCAGCTTTACTCCCAGTACCATTTTTCTCCGTGTAAAACCACTCCTGTGCTTTAAATATTACGTTATGTTAAAGGTTTTCACTGTGGTTGTAAAATTGAAAATATCAGGGTTAAGAAACTGAAAGTATTACTTTGGCATAAGCATCTCAGGCAGCCCTGGTGTAGGGCAGTTTCACGGCCTAAGGCTCCCTTGCCTGTGGTTGTGGGAAGACACCCTGCCCATTCCTGCCAGGTATTTGTGGCTCTCCGAGGAACTCATTTAACACTGTTCTTCAGTACAGGATCTTAGGAGGTAGAGCTGGGGTTTTCTAGTCCTTGTGAGAATCATTGCTTTAACCCAGAAGTTTTCTACAGCACAAAAGATCTGCTGGGTGAGATACAATCTCTCAGAGAGTGCCGAGGAATGAAACGTGGAGCGTGCCACCGTTTCCTCATGCTTACATGCTGGCCACAGCAAACTACGCAACAGCATAATCCCCCCCCCCCAGTGAAACCTCAGCCGGGACGCCAAAACCTGATAACCATAGTGAATCTCCTGGGAGCAGGATTTGGGGAGACAAGGTTTTCAAGTTGATTGAACTTTATGATTAACATAAGGTTATCCAGAAAGCCATATTTGCTTCACCTTATATTGATGGAAGTAGTTCTGTAAAGGTTACGTTCCCTTTCTACTTTGACTATACTTACCAATGTAGTTTAACATTTTTTTAAGATTAAGATTATTCACCTCCGTGGCATTATTTTGATTATAAAAGGTTATTTTATATTTCCCATAATATCACTGTTAAAGATAAACTCAGTGGAATAAAAATGTACAGACTCCAGAACAGCCCCAGAGGGCTCCCCCTTAAGTGAGGGGGGGGGGAATTCCTAATATGAAATTTTTTCTTGTATCCATTTTCCTGAAAACAGATTGTAGAAAAATTCCATCTAACTGAGGGTTATAAATTCTCTGAATGTGACTGTTATGATTTTAAATAATGAAAAAAATTCTGATAAAAGGGGAATTTTATTCCTCAATCCTAAATTTTAGTTCTGTTCCAATTTGGGTCTCAAAATGAGATTCAGTATAAGTCAAGGCCCTGTGTGGTCCAAGACTTCCAACACTGAAATGCAAAATACATCTCTTGGGATGAAAGCACAGCAATTTCTCCTTGTTTACTGGAATATATTGTACTATGGCAATTAGCATCTATTTTCCCATTTTCTTTCACAAAGCTTTTTATGCCAACATGCTAATTCATATGCACATCTTCATGTTTGCAAGGTGATGTAAGATTCTAGTTTTCTGTTCTATGTACAACATCGAGAATTTGAGATCATCATGTATGAGAAGGGAGGAAAGGTCTCTATTAGTGTCTGTTCCCATAGCTCTTCACTCAGACTATAAATTAGGCCAGGGCAGGCTGTAATGAGTCAGTAATTTATAGACTATTAAGATACTTAGTTAAAAGTGATTCTTGAGCTTGTCAAATAAAGAACACATGTTTTTAAAAGACAAATAGATTCAACACATCTCTTTGGCCTAACCAAGCTCAATCAATTAACAGAAGGGGGGGGATGTCTTATTTCACATATCTCCTGCTTCCCAAAAATAGAATCGCTAACCACTTGTTAACCGCACTGACTTTTTAAGAGACAGAAGGGATGCTATAGCTTTGCCACCAGAGACATTCAGATTATGCACCCTGTTAGATTGCAGCCAGCAGTCTAAAAACAGGAAGAGAGCGGGGCTCGCTTTGCCTCCTTTCTGACTCGGCTTGATGTGCTAATTCACTGCAGATTTCTCTTTCTTTGACAGAGTGCCTACCGCAGGAGTGGGATGGCTTTTCTGGCCTGCTGATGTGACTGTGACCGTGCCTGCAACAACAGAAGAGACCATGTCATAGGAAGGCGATTTCTTGTCCCTCCCTGGACAAAATAAAATACAAGTTTACATGCTCCGTATCCTAGGGAGTAGGCGGGCTTGTTGTGACTATGGGCTGGCTGACTCCTGCTCTCCTCCAGCCCCCTCACTGCCTTAGTCTTGTTTACTAGCTGGGGCGTTTAGCTAATTAATGGCAGGATGTTTGGGATAGGGTGTAGGTGGAATGCAAATCACACAATTTTTGAAATTTTAATTTGGAATGGAATTACTGCCCTTAGCTCACATATCTTAAAAGCAGTGCCTTCCCAGCCCCCACCCAGTGTTTAGTCTATGTTTTATTCGCTACATTCTATAATCCAGGTTTGGGACAAAGGAAACAACATTGTAAGGACAGTTTTCCTCTCCCACCCACTTCACTTGCCAACATTCATTGACTGTATCTACATGTATTTTGGAGACAGTTGTCCACTTTATAAACTTACTCTGATTAAAGATCTGGTAGGCCTGATGAACCAACTGCCTTGTTCTCACCATCGCTAACCCCTCACCCCACTTTTTTACATGGGCCAATTTGATGCCTTTTCCACTGCTTCCTGCCATATGCCTAGCGCTTGTTTTCCATCACATGGAACCTCTTCCTTCGTATCTCCCCATCCCTTTTCTCCAATCCTGAGGCCCCCATTCCTACACATGCCATTCCTGTTTAGAAGCAAAGTAATCAGATTCAGTACAAGGGGCAGAGTGACTGACTTCCACCCTTCGAAGCACTGCCACACCTAGACTGGAAACAGGCTGGGTAGTTTCTTGCTGGTAACACCTGAGCTACCTTTGGCATGGCTATTTTCTCCAATAAATGAGGAACTGTCTCTTGAGAGCAAACTGAAATCTAGCAGATGTAATAGTACAGTTCCTGATTGAGCTTGACTTGTAAAAACTGATTTTTTTTCTTTAATTCTACTGTTTCTGATCATTTTACTTTTATCATGGTTTTGGCACTCACTGAAACAGCCTTTGTGAGGAATTAATTTAAAAAACGAAATGAGAAGCGTGAAAAATGTTGATGAGAATCATTATGAGTCTCAGTTAATATGATTGTGTTATGTTATTCACATTCATTAACTCTCATTACCTGTTCTATGTGAATCCTTTTGGAAAAACTCAGTCAAAATGAATCAAAATGTAAACTTGCCACAGGATCTGCGCTTGTTGAAATGTATGATTAAAATTTTCTTTTTATCATCATTCTTATTTTCCTTGGCATCCCTAGTCATGGAAAATTATAAGCTTGCAGTAAACATCTTAACTTTTAAAATGACAGCATTTATTGTATTTGGTTTTGATCTGCCAGGCTTATAGATGGTATAAAATGTTCAGGGGCTAATTTTTCACATCAAAATTCCTTCTCTCCCACATTACACATTTTAAAGTATGCACACAGCAGAAAAGACATGGCTTAGTTTTTTCCCTTCATTTCATTCTACCTGATCTCCTCGTAGTCCCAGAGAAGGAAGACTCAATGTACATTTCTCTCAGAAATATGACAGGTCTGTGTTTTTGTTGGTCTGGCGTATGTTTGTCTATCTTGAACAGTCTGACAGGTAATTATTTATAAAATCTGGTTTTGTCCAGAGAGTTCATGTAATAACCTTTCACTTTTCATCATAAGCCAGTGAGCTGAATTTAGAATAAAACAAGGTCATTTATGTCTGTCCTGAGCCAGCCTACATGTCCCCACAATCGCTCAATATTAGTATTTTTAATTCTTTCTCTCTCTCTCTCTCTCTCTCTCTTTCTCTCTCTCTTTTTCTTTTCTACACTTAGGTTCTTTCTCTGGTTCTTTCCACAACACTCAATTTGAAGTGAAATAAAATTTCCTTAGCTATATAAAGAAAGTCTCAGAAAATATGACTTCAGTAAATTATTCTGTCAAGATTAAAATGTCCCGTAGAATCGTATGCTAGAGCAAAAGATGGTCTTGCAGGTCATTAATTTCATCATAAGCCAGTGAGCTGAATTTAGAATAAAACAAGGTCATTTATGTCTGTCCTGAGCCAGCCTACATGTCCCCACAATCGCTCAATATTAGTATTTTTAATTCTTTCTCTCTCTCTCTCTCTCTCTCTCTCTCTCTTTCTCTCTCTCTTTTTCTTTTCTACACTTAGGTTCTTTCTCTGGTTCTTTCCACAACACTCAATTTGAAGTGAAATAAAATTTCCTTAGCTATATAAAGAAAGTCTCAGAAAATATGACTTCAGTAAATTATTCTGTCAAGATTAAAATGTCCCGTAGAATCGTATGCTAGAGCAAAAGATGGTCTTGCAGGTCATTAAGAACAACCACTCATCTTACAGATGAACAAAACCATGGCCTCATCAGGGAAAGTAACTTTCCCCAAATCACTTACTAATGGCGGTGACGGACCAGAGACAAGAATCCACGGTTCTTAAACTTCAGGCCAATATGACGCCCCACCATAATTGGTTTTTAGAAGAATATTGCCAAATATGCTGGGGTTTTATAGCGTATGTATCGTAGACAGTAATGTAAATTTATAAAAAAAGATACTTGTATGGATATATCCTAAAGCATGAGTGCTATATATTACAATTTTTTTCAAAGGGACTCTGTTATTAATTAAACGACCTTTGTTCTCTTAACACATCAGTCTCAACTTTAAACCAAATGTGGCTATGAAGAACTAGTTTCTATATTTTGTCCCTATGTTTTAGAGATTAGATTTGAAACATAAATATATCAACCAGCAAATAAATATCTGTAAACTGCTCCTCTTATAGGAAATTGATACTGACCCCTAGATTTAAGAGTGAAGGAAACAGGGCTGTTTCTCCTGTCCCCTGCATTTGGAAGTGTGACTTTCAGAACATGCCACTTTCAGGTTATGTTATTAACCCTCCTGCCCTTCACATATTATAATAGCTGACACTGATTCAAAAATAGTGTTCCAATTTTAAACCAAGAGTTTTTATTTGAAAACCATCAGAAACACACGTATTTTTAAAATGGTGTATGTAATTCCCGTATCTGGGGAGAACGCTTCATTTATTACTGTTTGTTCTTTATTTTTATAAAATAATAAACAACTCATGTTTAATACCTTTACCACATGGAAGACAAATAAACATAACTGGTGATTCTTGGTCTGAAAAAAAATAAATACGACAAATTTACTTGTCTAGAAATCATAAAGTTTAATTTTATGAATTTTTTAATACAGTTCCCAAATCAGGCATTGCCTTCCGGTTTATATAATCCCTTGTGTAAAACTGAATCACTACAGAGAATGTATTCTCTCATCTGCCCTTCTGCAATTTAGATAGACCCTTCCCAGGTTGCATTTAAAATTCTACCATCAAGCATGTATACATCTCATAAAATATTTTACGGTTTCCTGTATGCTCTGGCTGAACATTTCATAGTACATAAACACTTCTGCAAATAATCTTAGGGCATCAAGTTGAATATGTCATAGCAGTGGCCCCCACATAAAGCTAATTCTCCAGCAGTATATTTTCTTGTTTTTATCTTCTTATTGAAATCCAAGATGAAACTTTTTATGCTGTTGTTATATAGTGGGGCAGGGAGGGGTAAGGGGAATCCAGCAGTTTTTGTGGAATTGTGTTCATTACAGCAAAGGCTGTTCTGCAGAGGGCATCAAGCCAAGCTTAAACAACAAAACCATGCCTGCAGGAATTGGATATAAATGTGATGGTTAAATAAGGGCCAGATGCCTTTAAAAACTGAAATATTAAAAAGTCGTATCTCTTAAGTAAGTCTCAAGTGTTGTGAGTAGGGTAGTGATACCACGGCACTTAAAAAAAAAAGGGGGAGGGAAGAGAGAGTGACTTATATTTGTTTTATAGAACGAAATATCAAGTATTCAAGCTGTCATAAGTCATGGCAATGTTGGCAATTGAAGCATATTTTAAAATAATCAGTTCCTACAAAGTTACAAGAAACCCACATACACTATTTCATTGTTAGAGACCACTGTCATTCTGCATAGAGCAGTATATTCACAGTCCTCTTTCTGCTCATCACCACCCAGTATTCACTAATCTCAGCTTTTACAAAGGAAAGGAATATCAAAAAAGAGACAAGGAAAAGCAAGTACCAAGATGATGAAATATAGTTTTACTTCATCAGGTAGCACTCTACTTGCTATAAAAAAATGATACATTGTCGGGACCAGCAGTTAGCATAATGGCTATGTCGCTGGACTCCCACATAGTTGACTGTGGTTCGAGTCCTGGACCCGGTGGCTTAAAACTCACACTGGGTGCGTGTGCGTGCATGCTCAAGATCCCAGTAGGAGACTACAGGAGAAGGGATTGCGGTGTGGCCATCTCCCCTGGGGGTTGATTTCTCGCTTTCTGTCTCTCTGTCTCTGTCTTTCTGGCAAGCGCACATGCCCTATAGCAAAAACCTCTCCAAAAAAAATATGATACGTTGTGAGCCAGAGAGAGCCATGATGCTTACAGCACTGTGTCCCACACGGCTGACTATGTGGTTCAAGTCCCTGACACGGCAGCTTGGAAAACACACCAGGCACACATGTGTGGGTGCCCAAAATGCTGAAAAGAGAATAAAAGAAGAGAGATTGTGTCATAGCTGTTCCCTCTGGTGAAGGGGTGATTTCTCACTTTCCCTCTCTCTCTGTCTCTCTGTCTCTGGCAAGTGCATGCATCCAATAGCAAAATCTAAAAAAAAAGTGTCAGCATTTTAGTAAGTTTTACATAATAATTATTAATAATAATACACCGTGTACTACCCCGTGTGCTAAGCACTCTGTTGGTTCATCTCATTGAATGCTCACAACCCCATTGCAAGATAAACTGTATCCTCACTGTTGCCCACAGGCAGCAAGAGAAAGGAAATGAGCATCGTGGTGTAAGTGCCTTATGCATTGTTACCCAAGGTGGATCTGGGCAGACAGCAGATGCACACACATGCACAAAAAGTCAGCAAAAATCATGTTATAAAATTCATGGAGCATGGGCCAGCTAGGTGGCATGCTCATTAAAATGGCTGGATCCCACATGGCCAGCTGGTTGAGTCCCGGACTGGCGGCTTGAAAAGCACACCAGGTACATATTGTGTATGCCCCAAATCCCGAGGACAGTATGGTAAAAAAATCATTTTGGGGGGCCAGCCCCATAGCCTAGAGGTTGAGGGAGCCAGAGCCCACATGGCTAACCATGGTTAAAATCTGTGAGTTGAAATCTGTCTCTCTGTCTCTGGCAAGTGCATGCATCCAATAGCAAAATCTAAAAAAAAAGTGTCAGCATTTTAGTAAGTTTTACATAATAATTATTAATAATAATACACCGTGTACTACCCCGTGTGCTAAGCACTCTGTTGGTTCATCTCATTGAATGCTCACAACCCCATTGCAAGATAAACTGTATCCTCACTGTTGCCCACAGGCAGCAAGAGAAAGGAAATGAGCATCGTGGTGTAAGTGCCTTATGCATTGTTACCCAAGGTGGATCTGGGCAGACAGCAGATGCACACACATGCACAAAAAGTCAGCAAAAATCATGTTATAAAATTCATGGAGCATGGGCCAGCTAGGTGGCATGCTCATTAAAATGGCTGGATCCCACATGGCCAGCTGGTTGAGTCCCGGACTGGCGGCTTGAAAAGCACACCAGGTACATATTGTGTATGCCCCAAATCCCGAGGACAGTATGGTAAAAAAATCATTTTGGGGGGCCAGCCCCATAGCCTAGAGGTTGAGGGAGCCAGAGCCCACATGGCTAACCATGGTTAAAATCTGTGAGTTGAAAAACTTGCCAGGAGTAGGTGCAGACACGTCCAAGAACCCAGCAGGATGAAGAAATGGAGAAGGACCGCCCGAGAGTGCATGCACCCTCTGGCAATTTTTTTTTCTTTTAAATAGGATGTTGAAACCCTGTACTTTCATGGTAACCGCCCTTGTCTTCTCAAGTTCTTCAGTGGCAAGTAGATTGTGCCTACTGAAGGTTTGGGAGCTGTTTTAAACTTAAGGGTATTTTTTTTTTCCTTTGACATAAAGTATCACCTGAACTTTTAAAATATGTCTTATTTTAGGAAAAATTTATGAGATTTTTAGCATTAGGAAGTTTTGCTTTCCCTGACCTTTTATTGCTTTGCATATTTGAAACATTTCAATCCCAGACAATAAATATTATGTGATTATTATTTTCATATGGATAGGCTATTTCCTGCTTTTTCTAATTCCCATTCCCAGCTAATGATACTAAAAAATGTATTAATACTAACCTGCGCCGTTCTGCTTCTCCAGAATCGTGCATAATGAGAACTGAAAGAAGGGCAGGGTTGAGAGAGAAGGGATAGTAGTAAAAAATAAATTGAGGTGTGTGGTTTTCTCTCAGTTGGGTCTAAATTTTTTCTTGTTCAGTTAAAATGAAGATTATTCCATAAATCATGTTTATAACTGTCATAACCAGTTATCACACTAAATGATACCTTTTTATGTCACTATTAGGAAAGCTTTAATGGGTCTCAACAAAGGAGATGGTGCTAACCCATAAAGACTCAGTGTTTGAAAGCACCCACGTTTTAAAAGCTATTCTCACGCTCCCTCGCCTTCCCTGCTTTATCCTTTCCCTCCAACACAACTTGTAACATACCGTTTCGTATACTTAGTTTATCGTCTCCTCCATCAAGAATTGTAGACTCAGGATGTTGGTTTATTTTTAACACTGCTATATCCCAGCACTTCCAACAGTGCCTGACATATAGTACACCGTTAGTATTAACTAAAGGAATAAAGGTGAGGTCAGTATTGTATTCTGCAAAGTCTTGCAACACTGCACCCATGTTATTGTGCCCTCGATTCTTCTCCAGCCTCTACTCTTCCTTCTCCTTTCTGTCCTGACTTCGTGTCTTCCTCCATATCTCAATACGCAGATTCCCCTGAACTTTCCAGAGTCTTTGGAACTTCTTCAACTACGTTTTTCAGCATAACTCATTTTTAAAATGCTTTTACATCTTCATTCTTCCTACGTCACAGTGCATCTTCAACAAAGTAAGAAATTCGGCCACCAGAAAACTTAGTTATGAGGTAGTTAGTTTTTCAATAATAAGATAACAAACTTTATCTGGCTATGTCGGTTTCACTAGTTGTTCAGATTTTCTTTTACCATAACTCCAGGTTAGAAAGTTTTGTACTTCACTGCATTTATTTAATCATTTCTTATGTTGCAGAATTTTATAGACAGGGTGCACAGAATATATTTTTAATCGGTTAAATTTGGTATAGTGGAATATAGTAGTAAACCCTTTTTAGATATACTTCATTTTTTCAGTGACTCTTGACAAATTAACACAGTTGTGTAATCACTATAATCAAGATTCAAGAACCCAAAACCGTCCTCTCATGTCCCTTTGTAACTGATCCCCCACCCCATTACTAAACGCAGCAACCACAACCTGATTTCTGCCCCTATGGTTTTTCCTTATTAAAAGGGCATGTAAAATTGAATAATTTCATATAAAATTAAATTTCAAGTTTTTTTGTGTGTGTCTGACTTCTTTTACTTAGCATACTTTTGAGATTCATCCATGTTCTTTCATGTTCCAATAGTTCACTGTCTTTCTTGCTGAGTAATACTCTACTGTATGTATACACTATAATCTGTCCATTCACTGTGTAGTAGATTTGGATTATTTCTTTTTCTGGATATCAATAATAAAGTTTATTTGAGCAATAAGTGCCCAGGAATGGCATTACTGAACCATATGGTAAGTAAATGTTTAAATTTTATAGCAAACTTCCAAGTGCCAAAGTGTCTGTAGTTGGTAGCACTCCCACCAGAAATATGAGATTTCTGGTTACTCCCTTTCTTCATCAGCATTTGATATGTCGTTTTAATTTTAACCATTCTAATAGGTACATAATGCTATTTCATTATTTTACTTTTAATTTCTCTGATGACGAGATGAATTATTTTTCATGTGTTTATTTGCAATCTATCTTTTCTTGAGGTATTTGCTTAAATATTTTGCCCATTAAAAAAATTGACTGTCTTCTTTTTACATTATAAGAATTCTTTATATCTGTTAGACACAGATCCATTGTCATAAATATGGTGTTCAAGTGTTTTCTGCACATCTAAGGTTGTATTTTCTTAAAGTGCCTTTAGAAAAGCTGAAGTTTTTAATTTTGAAGAAGTCAGATTTATTAATGGCTCTTACTTTTTTGTGTGTTCTCTAAGAAGTAGTCATCCAAGCTTACAAAGGTTTTCTTCTTGATATTTTAAATTTTAACTTTTTCTTTTAGGACTTCAATTCATCTTGACGTTTATATCTGTATATGGTGTGAGGTAAGGACTGCCGTTATTTTATTTATTTATTTGTTGTTGTTGTTGTTGTTGAGACTATCCTTTCTTCACTTTGGCATCCTTGTCTAAAATCATTTGATCAGGTAAGTGTCAGCCTGCTTTGGATTCTGCTTTGTTCCACTGAACTATATGTTTATCATTATGCCAGTACATTTTTGTCCTCCTATCTGTGACTTCACACTAAGTCATAATGTCAGGATGAACAAGTCCTCAGCTCTCCTTTTTCAAAACTGTTTGCTATATTCTAATTTCTTTGCTAATCCATATTTTTTTAAAAAAAACTTCTGGATTGTCTGTTGATGATAACATGTATAATAATATCTTTAACTGGACTAGTGTGTAGTGTATTTATGCTGAGAAAATTCATTTTACAAGCTGTGGTGATGTACAGTGAGTGAATGTATAAAAATTTAAAAATTAAAAACACTTTCTGGGATTTTTATTGGGATTTCTTGGAATCTATACCTCAATTGGAAGAAAGCTGACACCTCAGCTGCACCAGTCCTTCTAATCAATGAACAAAGCTCTATGTTTATTTAGGTCTTTTCTAATTGTTCTCGCCATGCTTCATAGTTTTCTGAACATAAACCTAGTACATATTTTGTAAAAATCATGCATGGATATTTCATGATTGATATGATAAGAAACATTTAAAAACTTTATTTAAATTTTTAGTTATTCACTGCTAATATAGAAAAATAAAGTTGATTTTTGTATATTAACCTTTTATATTGAAACCTTGCTGTACTAGTACCTAGTAGCCACAACAGAGTGTTTTGTGAGTTTTTCTGTAGTCTTTGTGATTTTTCTATATTCATATTTGAAAATAAAGACAGCTTTTTTTCTTTCTAATCTATATACTTTTTAGTTCTTCTTGC